ATTTTTAAAAAAAGTATATAGTTGATGAAATTGCAGCTGAAAGAGGTCATACAGTTTTAAGGTTACTACCATATTTTTGTATTTTCAATCCTATAGAGTTACTCTGGAGCCAATTGAAACAAAATATTCGGAGAAAAAATATATTTCCCAAATTTGATTCTCAGGTCGTCAACTTGATCAAAGAACAAATGGATGCGATCGGAAAATCGCAGTGGGAAGCAGTTATAAAACATGTGTATGAAATAGAAGAGGAATACAATAGCACAATAGCGGCATACACGTAAATAATGGAGAACGATTTATCATAAATCTCAATGAGGATGACGACGACGATGATATAATTAATGATAACGAGGAGAAGGAAGACGAGGAGCAGGAATTTGGAAACAATGAGAAAATCTGAGTTAAATCAGCAATATGTAAGTCACATTTTAATTTTATAAGTCGGTCTATGTTTAGGTTATTTTTACATTTACTTTGTAATTTAAATTTTAAAATATTTTTTATAAGTAAATTAATAAAATATTGACGTTCGTATTCGTTTACTAATCGAGAAGTCACTTGGGAAGTAACCCAACCAGTAGAGATATGTTTGCACTATAACCAATTAAGTCAATTATTTCCTACCTATTTATATGTATTCGCTCCGTGCGAAGTCATGGAAAGGGAAGCAAAAGCGATACTAGCGCTAGCTGCGGATAATTCGTGCATTTTAGGGGGATATTTTGTAATTTTGGCATATCAAATACACGTATACATTTTACTTTTTTTCAAAAAAGTAGGTAAAAACAACACAATAAGCAACCGGAGTTGCTGTGTTGAAAATTGTACAAATACTACCAAAAAAAAACAGTGAAACTTATATAACAAATTTCACTAACAAAGTGGAAATTAAATCAAAGAAATAAATGGATAGGTGTACAATAAGAAGAAAAATTACCTTTATTTTTGTGATAATAACAGTAATGCTGGAAATAGTAGACATCAGAAACTAGAAAGTTTTTAAATAAACAATAAATTATCATTTTACGATGTTCTTTAATATCCCTTTATTCTTAAATGTTCATTCAGCAAGGACTAGATTTCAAGATTTCTGCCGTTGATTATAATATTTGGCTGGTATGCAATTTTGTGACTTACTGATCGGAAACCAGTTTTAATCATTCATTCTATGTTTTCTTTAGAACAAAAATGCAAATATAAGTAGCGATCCTTTTTATACATTTTAACTTCACGCTATTATAAATGGTTTCTTCAATGACAACTTATTAGACTTAGGCAACTTCTCATACATTTTCCAGTAAATACTGTTGCCTGCCTATATTTTATTATTGATTTTTAATGATTATACATAATTTTCTTCAATTTAAGCGTGAAAAATATATAATAATAATAAATTAATGTTTTAATTGTTTTATAAATCCATATACTTTTATTAAAACTAACATATATACTTTTTATTTACGAATTCTATTAAAAATTTATTTGTCAGTATAGGCAGAAATACTCCTTTAATACCAAAACAAATTGGCGCTGCTGTCGCGCACGGAGCGAATAAGAAGGTAGGTATGTCATGCAGAATTGATATAAAATAAGAAACCTTTATTTCGAAAGAATTGGAAATGCACTAATTAAAATATTTATTCCAGAGACGGCATTTTATTTTTCTGAAAAAAATTGTATACCGACAGTCGATAATTTCAATAGACACTGCATTTGGTATATATTTATGTCAGTTTTTTAACAGACTTCAAAAAAGGAGGAAGTTATCAATTCGTCGCGATATTTTTATGTATGTTCAGCGATTATTCTTTAACACGGTGGCCGATTTCAATAATTCTTTTTTTGTTAGAAAGGAGGTATTTCAGGGGTGGTCCCATATAAATTTAGTCAAAATCTAATAATTGGGTCGATGAGAAAATCCTCAAACTCTTCATTTAATATGTATGTTCAGCGATAATTTTTTAACTCGGTGTCCGATTTCAATAATTCTTTTTTCGTTAGAAAGGGGCTACTTTAGGGGTGGTCCCATATAAATTTGGCCACAATCTAATAATTGTATCCATGATAAAATCCTCAAACTCTTCATTTTTTATGTATGTTTAGCGATAATGCTTAACCACCTTGTCCGATTTATACGATTCTTTTTTTGTTAGTAAGGGAGTACCTCAGAAGTGGTCTTATATAAATTTGGTTAAGATGTGGTGATGGCATCTGCACGTTTTTGAAGTCGGTTTTTTAAATTTTTAATTTGTAATACTTTTAATTTTGTATCATATACTTGGAACGCAGTACCTATATTTCAAATTGATTGATTATTAATCTATTTTTCGCTTTGTAAAATTATTTATTACATCTATTTTATATAATAAATCGTAAAAATTGAAATATGTGGTAATAATTAATGTTTAAAATACTCCAACCAATTAAATTAAATAATAAACTGACTTAACGATGCGACGACACTGGCTTCTTCTTACTTTGCGGATACTTTTGACTACAGTGCCGCACGGCACGATATTCCAGTCTGTCTACACAGGTTATTGGTTCATTTCAGTAAACAATAAACTGGACTACTATATTCCAATTCGGAGTTGAGTTAATAATTTTTAGTATTAAAATAAGTGTATTACTATCGTCCAGGGGCATAATAATGACATACTCCTGGTAGAGACTCCTTTTTAGATGTATTCATACATAATATTTAGTGAATTTTTTTTTGAAGCATCTTCAAATGGAAGCCGAACTTTTTTTTCCATTATCGGTATTTCTTTGTAATTGACTTATTGTTTGTATGGACTATAATCAGGTTGATTTGCTTGTGCAGTGTTTCACCAAGCCAAGTAGCTTGACTTAAAAACAAGAAGCTTGGCTCTATATTCTCTTCGTGGGACCATTTAGAATACAGAGTACACCACAACCATGCTTCTTTTGGGCAAGAGTTGAAAAAAGGCTCACCACAAACTAAACAGAATGTTTCTTTTTCGTCTTCAGAACTACTGCTAACACATTTCTTTCTGACTTTAACTTTTTATTAATTTCTCTTAGTGCCGGATTGAACAGGAAGACTTTCCACAGCAATATTTTTAGTTACTGGATAATGAGTATATTAACTTGGGGAAGATGGTCTTGTCAAAAACACCTTGTATGTCTATAAAAATATCTACGAAGGATTCTTTAAATCCAGAGATCTAAGCCTTTGTGGGGGCTGCGCAAAGGAAATAACAAAAAAAAGCCGTACCTATCACTATAATGGGACTTGGTTTTTTTTAGAAGCCAGATAGAGAAACAGTTTACGAATTTGGTTTGATGACTTTTTTTTTAGAAGTCAGGAAGAGGAAGGCGTACATGATTGTGAAAATTTTTGTTCGCAGGGGTTCTACAAAGAAATGGGTAGGACCTGGCAAGAAGCTAGAGCAAGGAGGACTTTTTCGAAATGTGTTTAGGGCTCTGTTAAATATTTCACTTTTCAAAAAGGTTCCGTCACCAAAAAAATTGAGAACCACTGCCTTAGAGTCAACATGGGACTGTACAAATTTACGGAAAATATCTTATTTTGTATCTCTACTTTGATTTAAAAGTCTCATCAAACCCACATGGTTTTTTTAATCATTACTTTATATATATTGTTCTCTTCCATATTTGCTCTTAGTTTGGTTAGCCAACTAGCTCGTGAAGCCATTGCTAAAAACCATCAAAAATGGTAAATTAAATTAAAAAGCATTAATACTTTTTTTTTTAAAGAATAATGACAGAATTAAAAATAAACCTGAGAAGACATTACAAAATCTGATACTAAAAAATTTCCAATAGCAGCGTCTTAATAGTATCAAAGAATAAAACAAGTCGAATAACGCCACATTTTAAAATATAACATTATTTTTAAAAATGTTAAAAAATACTTACACTAAATTATAAAATGACGTCTTAATACTAATTATGACAATATTATTCTCAGTACTGGTTTAACTAAAACGATAATGATTGATTTGTGACACTATTCTTGTAGCCCGAAATGACACTGTTGCACGGAATGGAAAATCGAAATAACACTGCTGCTACGTTTGGGCAAATGATAGAAGTTCCTATACCCTATTCAACTTAAACGCAAGTAACGCTTAAGCACAATAGCCCCTTAACCACAGCACTGAGCTAGAGGGTACGAAAACATTTGAAACCGTATCATAGGGCTGACCAATAGCAGTCGGGCGTATGCGTATCATGCTGTGGTCAAGAGGCTATTGTGTTTAAGCGTTACTTGCGTTTCAGTTGAATAGAGTATAGTAACATAGCTAAAAAAACAACAAACGTTTCGAAACTTCCTTTATTCCTCGATTTTTCTGATTATTAGACAACACTGCCTGATCGTGACTGGATAAGTGATCAATGACGTTGATTTTTGTATTAAAAGCCAATATTAAAATTTTTCAAATCCAAACGAAACGTTTGCAAATTATGTATTATTCGGCGTGTTTATCAGTAATAGATTATTTTTAAAATATACACTTGATAGCCAAAGAGTTTCTTCGTTATTATTATTTATATGAGAGACACAGATGTGGGAAGGTTCATCGTCATACGGCACCACAAGGCGGAGCCTATTTCAAACTAGCAAAGAAGATAAATATTTAAAAAATTTGTAAAGTAAAAATTTATTATTAATCAGAAAACATTACAGAAAGCAATAAAATGTTCCATATTTATTTAAAAAATGCAATATTATCACATCACTATTAATTAGATCAAAATCTCACAGTCCCAACAAGCGTTGCTTAGTATGTTTTTAAACATTTTATAATATCATAAATAAATTGTTCTCTTACACCGGACTTTCTCGCTTTCAACTCTGTTCGCATTTTCGATGCCAGCCCTGCATCGGTTACATTGAATCATCATTATCTATCAAAACGATCATGACAGATTTGAACTGCAACCGCAGGTATAGCATAGTAACATCGTAACATCCATCTTTACTAGTTGCTTCTCCAAAACGATCTCACTTTGGATCAACAGGTGAAAAACGGAATAATTCAATTATCATTTTTTATCTTTAACATTGTTAAAGATAAAGATTTTGATTTGATAAATTTTGACAGCTCGGAAATCGGGACACGTTTAGAGAGTGAGAGCAAAGAAATAAAAAAAAACATTAACAATCATTTAAGAGATAAATAAAAGTTGACAGGATTTTAATGTTGATTAAAAAAAATGGAAAGTAAATTTAAATGTAAATAGCAGCAATAAATAAACATGTAAATAAGAGGTGTCTAAAATAATAGCCAGGTCGTGAGAGATTCTTAACTAACGGCAATATAAAAACAAACGGATTTGACAAAAAAATCATTTATTTAAATAAAAATATTATAATTAGGATTATAATAAGTTGAAACGAATGAGACCATTATATCAAAGTGTAAAATTAGTTTATTAAAAAAAAAACCATCATCAATCATATTCTTCCTGGAAACAGTGAGACTAATTTAAAATTTTGTAGTTTTTAAATACAAAATATATAACTTACGTCCAGTAGATAACTCCACATTAATCACATAACATTTAGACATATTTACTAACATCGTTAGTGTGAATAAATGTTATACTTTAAATATAATAAAACTTCCTATAATTTCTACCCTTATGAGTGAATTTAAGCTCCAAAAGCCGACCAAACTCATTCGAGGTACTGATGGCTATTTGCCGTGGCGCTCCCGGGCGATATACATATAATTAATGGTGCTATTTGACTTACAGGAAAGGAAAACCAAAAAATTCTCACCCACATCGAACAATTTAAATTTTCATTCGTCAACAGCATGTTTAATAAGCAATGACAAATAACAGGTTTTTTTGGTGGTGAACATAACAGAACCAGAACAAAATAATTAACATTATTAAAATATTAATATAATGTATATTAGTATAATGTAATATAGTGTAATATAATGTAATAAGGACTTCTCTTGAACGACTTAATGCCTTAGGTATTAAGGGTGATAAACAGGACTCTACCATGACGCGTACAAGGCCTAGTTAAAAAAAGGGTTAATTGGAGAAAAACCATAGGCCAGAATAATAAATTTTGGGTACTGATAGGTAAGGTATAAATAGACAGATCCATACTAAACACCAAGAAAGATAGAGAAAATACAGTTTCATTAGCTTCTTACAAATCAGCTGTAAGCTGAGGAGTTTATATTCTACAATCGGGATCCAACAGTGAATATGATAAGAAGTTAGCCTCTGCTGGACTTCGTAACCGTCAACGTAATTACTTATAGGCCAGGCAAGGTAGGTTTACCAGGGAAAAACTATAATAAAGCTACAAACTGGTATGTTGGTTCAAATTGGTGTCCTTCTGCTACCTTTTCATTTGTTTCCAGGCTATCTGACTTTTTATTTTTAGGTGTTTAAAAAAAGTCTTGGAGTGCAAAAAAGTCTTCCATATGACCTATTGTTTAAAATTAATTGCAAGAAAACACTATGGAATTAGTTTTTTATTATTAGCGAAGCTAGCTAGTAAGTTATTCGTTTAAAATTGGGATATATTCATCACAGCATTTATAGGTATACCTACAAACGTGAGTATGAGCTAAAAAAAATGTCACCACATAGCATACCAGTCAAGATATATTAATTGAAAAAAATAAAAAATAAAACCTGGATACATTTGTTGTTTTAGTGCAGGTTGCACATGCAAAATGTGAGGACCACCAACTATGCTCAAATTCTGTTACCTAAGACACCAAACAAAACAAAAAGATTTACAAAGTGTGTATAAAATAAATATTGTGAACAAAAGTATGAACTGATAGGTGAACAATACCTGTTTCAGTTATTAACATATATGTAGTTGTAAACTAATAATACCCAATATGATTAAAAATAAATAAGAAAAAAAAAGATAAAACCATAAAATTCAATACATTTAAAATATACCTATCTACAATAATTAAAAATAGTATGCATTATAAATAAAACTTAATTTAATATTTTTGTTTTTTAATTCTGAAAATACAAATTTAATAAGACAAATAATACAACAAAATACAAATAATGGGGGAGTACAAGGGAGGTAAACAATGTATTTAAATTTAAACAATGTATTTAAATTACTATAATAATTAAAATTATTATATAATATAATTTTTTTTTAATATTCATACATACAAAAAGTGGGAATACAAAAGTCTAGGTTAGAAATAAAATTTAATTGTTTCTCTAAAATAATGTCTTGATTTACTGTACATAAATTTTTTTACACGACTTTTGTAAAGGACCCCGCCCTTTTCTAATGGCAAAGTGGCGTTCCGTCAAATGTAATAAATTTTAAATATGATGTTGTACTCGACTTATTAACCAAAAGTGTTCATGGGACCGATTCAATCCTATGAGTCGTTTTTAGAATACAGGGTGTTAAAGTCGAGAAATCGTATTTCTTGAAACTACTTAACTTAAAAAGAAAAAATAAGAATTTTTAGTTGATTGTAGCATTAATATGTCCTAGTTTAACGCAAACGTACACATAAATAGTTCAAAATGTAAACATATTCAGGGTGGTACTCAATTACATAAGAGGGACTTTTTTAAATTCTGACAGATTCTGATATGGAATGAAAACATGGTCAAAAATAAAAACTTACATAATGTTTACCGTTCTGACATTATATAAACCCATTTTACATTATATGTATACAGGGTGATTGTTAATTCAATTCACAGAAAGGCGTTTCTTAAAAAAATTACACCCTATATATTAAGGAATTTGTTAATAATATTGATTATGGGGTAATAAATAAATACCTAGATAACAATACTTTTTATGAAATATAGGGTGATACACATGTCTAATTCGTTTTTGATGCAGCAACAATTAAAGAAATATTCATTTTTCAGAATCACCCTATATTTTTCAATTTGATCCGTCAAAATTTACGATCTATTTATTTTTGTATTAAGCTGTAAGCAGTTAATACCTTTGTGTAATTTCATAATTTTAGTATGATCCGTTTTTGAGATTCCAATATATATATAGTGAACCATTAAATATCAGATAATTCAGGATATTCGTACACTGGAAGTTTTTATTTGGTGAAAAATTATCGGGGGAAATAATACCACAAGAACTTAGATTTAGCCGGATATTTTTTGTGGTTATTTTCGAATAAGTATGAGAAAACCACCGTAAAAAATATCCTGCTAGATCTGAGCTCGCGTGGTATTTGGTAAGACCATTCCATGAATAGAAAAATCAATTCAATACTTTTTTTTTGTATTTTTCTGGAGTTGATTTTTCAATCTCCCTTACTGTTTCTGCTTCGCAAATATTAATAAATCTCGATATACTTATTGAAATATTACAAGGAATATTTCTGTTTAATTCTGTTTTTGACCCTAACAATTTTAAGGCAACTGTTAAGTAATATAGTTGTTTAACATCGAGCACTTTACTTTTATTAAATAGATCATCCGATGAGTATCGAGGTGATTTATTATTATTTTTAGGAACCTGCGCTGGATTACTTCTAATGGTTTAATGTAGGGTTTGAGAGCACACCCTTATCCAATTATCCCGTATCTTAGATGACTTTCTACTAAACAACAATATAAAGTCTTCAAATAATTTGAAGTTATGCATTTCTTTAAATATTTAAATTTATATAAGATAGTTTGTAATTTTTTATTAACATATGTAATATGGTCTTTCCATTTCAAATTGCAGTCAAAAATAATTCCTAGATATTTTATTTTAGTTATAGGATTAATGGCAAATGTTGAACCATTAACCGTACATGTTAGGGGTTCAAAATTTGGAGTATTAGTATTTGTGCAAGAAAAAGGTAAGTTTTGCGTTTTGTTTAAATTAAGAGTAAGAATATTACTGTCGAACCAGCTCTTTATCTTTGTAATGTCAATTTCGACTTTCTTTTTAAGTCTAAGCCATGTAGCATCGCTGTAAAATATGACAGTATCATCGGCAAATCCCACAATGTCCCCAGCTCCTTGTAATAAAAATAAATTGTTGATATATATATTAAATAATATCGGTCCTAAGATTGTCCCTTGCGGAACTCCTTATTCAGTATTTTTAAAATCACTTGTTAACTTTTAACTTTTAAATAATTCCAGACTTTTATTTCTGACACCAATCTCTTTCAGAGATTCTAGTAGCATATCGTGATTTACCATATCGAAGGCTTTGGATAAGTCTAAGAAAACGCAAAGACATGGTTTGCTCTCATTTAACGCGGTTTATATTATGGTTGTCAGTTCTAAAACTGCATTTTGTGTTGACTGGCCCTCCTTAAATCCAAACCGATGTTCTGAGATAACGTTATATTTTGATGAAGGAGTTTATCTATTTTTTAATACAGTTTCAAATATTTTGGAGATGTGAGGAATGAGAGAAATCGGTCTGTAATTAGATACTTCGGTTTTATCACCTTTTTTGTATATTGGTATAACAAGAGATGTTTTCAAACATGATACCATTAACAAAACATTTGTTTATTATATACATAAGTGGGTCGATAATATATTTGGCCAGTATTTGTAAGCATTCACTATTAATGTTACCTATTCCTACAGGTTTTTTAGTTTTTAATGATTTTATTACTTCCAGAATTTCATTATAAGTTGTTGGGAACAACGCCATGGAGATAAGAACATTTTTTTTTGTAAAAATTTAAATTCGTGGTTTTTTTTATTTTTTGTGCTAGAGCTTTACCCGTTTCTGCAAATTGTGTATTAAACTCATTCGAGATTTACTTTGGTTTGGTTAAAATTTCCCCAGCCTGATTTTTTATTAAATTAATTTTAATTTTATTTTTTGTTTTTAGAAATATTCTGAATTACCTTCCATAGCTCCTTATTATTATTTTGATTCTTATTATTATTTTTATAATTGTTTTGTTTTGCTTTGCTTTATCAATCAAAGATTGATTTCTATAACATTTGTATGTCTGCTTTAGTTCTAAGTCATTAGGTTTTGTATTAATGTTTTGTGCAATTTATTTTTTTTTATTTATTGATTTGAGTAAACCA